AGGAGATTGCTGGGGCCATGGTAGAGATATTTACTACCTCACTAGCCACAGGTGAAGTGCCAGATGACTGGAGGAAAGCTAATGTGGTTTCTTTGTTCAAGAAGGGCAGCAGGGATAGACCAGGTAATTACAGACCAGTTAGTCTGATGTCAGTGGGAGGGAAATTATTGGAAAAATTTCTGAGAGACAGGATTAGTCAGTGATTGGAAAAGCAGGGATAGTCAACATGGATTTGTTAGAGGGAGGTCCTTTCTAACTAATTTAACTGAGGTTTTTGAAAAGATGACTACGTTATATTGATGAATGTGGTGCAGTTGATGTGGTTTACATGGATTTCAATAAGGCCTTTGACAAGATCCTACATAGGAGGCTGTTACAAAAGGTAAGACACTGTGGCATCCGAGGAAAGTTGGCAAACTGGATCCAAAATTGGATTGCAATAGGAGGCAAAGGGTAACGTTGGAGGGATGTTTTGTGATTGGAAGCCTGTGACCAGCAGTTTACCAGAGGGATCGGTGCTGGGACCCTAGCTGTTTGTTATGTACATTAATGACTTGGATGTGTGATGAAAGTATGGCTTTAAGAGGTGTATTTTGTCTTGGTTTTTTTTTCTTTCTGAAGAAAGGCTGAGACAGAGGTGCAGAACAGTCTGTTTAGATCAATGAAAGTAAACCGCTGTGAGGCCTTTTTTTTTTAAAAGTTGGAACAATAGAAGCAGCCCGAATAGGTGGGGTCAAGTTCCCACAGAACCAGGATTTTTAGTTTTAGTTTCTGCAATTGCTGGCATCTTGAAGCTGGATGTGGAAGCTCTTATTCCTCTCTTAGTTACAGCTAAAAGTTGAGGTTCTCTTCCTGCTGCTAGATTTGCATATGAGACAATCTGTTTTAATGAATTTGCCTTTGCCAAGGGAGACTACTACATTGGAACAGTTAATTAGTAGTAGTTAATATATATATTGTTTTGTTATGCATTACGATAGAGTTGCAGTTAAGCCAATTCTTTTCTTCTATTTTTATTTTGTCTGTATTTTAGCTGTAGTGTAAAAATAAAGCGCATTTTGCTTAAAGTCGATAGTTTGACCAATTGAATAGCATCTGGAAAGCAATGCCTTACACTTATCTTTAAAATAAGAAAACGTTAGTGTCTAGACTATCTTCCTAATATATTTTGAGTTAGTTTGGTTTGATCCATAACAGATGTGAATCTAGAACATTTAATTCACAAGGTGACAAATGACATGAAATTTGGTGGTATTGTTTACAGTGCGGAGGATGGTCTGAGGCTTAAGCTTGATACTGATCAGACTGTAAACTGGGCAGAGCAATGGCAGATGGAATTTAATCCTCATAAATGTAAGGTGACGTGTTTTGGGGGGTCCAGTAGGAAAGTATATATACATTGAATGGTAAGCCCCTGGGGAGTACTGAGGAACAAAGGGATCTTGGTTTCAAGTCCATAGATCCCTGAAGGCGTCAGCACAGGTAGATAGGGTGTTGAAGAAGGCTTATGAGATTCCTACGTTCATTGAAGAAGGCTTATGAGATTCCTACCTTCATTGGCTGGGATATATAATAGAAGAACAAGGAAGTCTTGTTACAACTTTATAACATAATGTTTAGGCCACAGATGGAATACTGGGTGCAGTTCTGATTGGCATACTAGCAGAATGATTGCACTGGAGAGAGTGCAGAGGAGATTCACCAGAAAGTTACCTGGAATGAAAAATCTCAATTATGAGGAGAGACTGGATAGGGTGGGTTTGTTTTCCCTGGAGCAGAAGAGCCATCTGATTGGGGTTTATAAAATTATGAGAGGCATAGATTGGGTAGAGCATAAAAATAAAATAGCTCATGACAGACATGTCTAAGACCAGAGGACACAAGTTTAAGGTCAGGACCAAGTAGTTTAGAGGAGATCTGAGAGAAAAAAAAAATTCACCAGAGGGTGGTAGAAATATAAAAGTTGCTGCCTGAGAGGGTGGTGGAGGCAGTTAGTCTCGCAACATTTAACAAGTGTCTGGACAAGCATTTAAAATGCCAGGGCATAGTGGGCTATGGATGAAGGTACAGGTAAATGGGATTAGTATTGTTGAAGCCCAGCAAACACTGGCTCCTGTTATTGGCTCGTACAGAGAGAACAGTCGCTTTTACCGTAACTCACTAATCTCTTTTATTTACGTATTATGAAAAGGTAAATGTATGGCTTATACATTAGATAATACACAAGTAACTCATACATTTTCCCGAAAGAACTAGAACCTATTTGAACACCCACAAAAAGCTCCTAACACTTCCAGAATAATCACAGAATGTGAAAGCTAATACCTGTGCAGAATAGCTGCTGTCGCTGCCGAGGACTGACATTGGCCAGATGCTGCAATCGATGCTGGGGTCACCACATCCCGGACGAGGGGTGCAATTCTGCGAAAGTTGATCTCCAGAGTTCTCACTGCCCCGAGGGTCTACTTTTATCTTTTTTCCTTCTCTTTCTCGAGTCGTGTTGTCTTTTTCCTGTAGGCTCAAGCTAATTCAATTATCACATGTCTTTACCTATTGGCCCTGGATCAGAGACTTAGGTAGCATTACTTCATTGCCCCTCGTCCAAATAAGGCTTTTGCATTACCTCATCTTTCTTACTTCTTTTTGCAGAACTTGGTTGGCACCAATTGTTTTTGACCAGCTCAGGTCAGCTCCTAGGTCTGGGTTTATCCTCACTTCACAAGCTGCTTCTTTCTTTATGTCAGCATTTTTTTTACATCTAGTATCTCCTGTTAACGATATCGGCAACTGGCACCCTCCTGTCTCCATCTTTCTCTCTGCAACCTCTGGTCAGCATTTCCCAGGCAGCGATGGCAGCAGCTTGTCTGCCTGCCTCTCTCTCTTTCTCTGCAGCCCCTGGCTAACATCTCCCCTGTCTTGATCCAAAGATACATATCTTAGGATCATTCTCCGTCCATTTTTGTGAATTGCTTCTGGGACTGCCAGTGCCCCCAGTGGGTGTATCATTTTGACTTTGTTATACCGTTATACTAAAATAGAGAAATTAGCATATATATATACATATATAGGACATTTACATATCAAAAAAAACCAAACCAAAAAACGGAAAAGGCAATAACAAGCAAATAATGAATTCAAACAGTGTTTTCATAGTGCTCCTTCTGTTTCACTATAGCCTCAATGTCCAGTCTTTGCATAATTTCATTTTTCCACCTTCTAAGCTGGTATATATTAAATATGATGATTATTAATGCACCTAGGATCATCGCTACAGCAAAGTGCAACCGAATTCTGACCCATGGATGTATTTGAACATTGGATCCCCAATTCCAGAACCTATCCCACAATCCGGGGTCCCACAGTAACTCCTTTGCTTTATCAGCAGGAGTTCTAATTATTTTTGTGTGTTTAGTCCACTGATGAATTATCTCTTTTGTCTCTCCCACTCTACGTTTCCAATCTGCTGTCAGGTGTGGAATGGATGGTAATTCTGTGGGAACAAACCTCTGTAGGTCCTGATCTGTATCCGTATGTTGGATTGTGAGGTTTTCCATTATCACCGCACTGGTTATTGGCTGAGGCAGCACCTGCTCACCAATCTTCAAATCAGAGATCACACTATTAATAGCCATGTTGTGCCTTTCCAAAGGGCATTGTCTCCATACCTTGGCATATTTCAAAGCTGCTGTGGCTACGTAATATGTTTGTCCCACAAGGGCATATTGCAAAAAGGACTAGTTATTCACAGGTAGAATAACCAATGAACAATTTTCATAGGTGCTGAAACCACAATCTTTGTCTTGTTACCTCATTAGGCCCAGTGATCCCCTCCTTGGTGACATTTTGACAAATCTACCCCTTTCTCAACACCATCCATTACCATAGCATGAGATGGTGGGTTACTTGAAGATATCCAAGTACTTTCATGGTACTTTCCACTTCGTGGACTTTTTTAAAGGGCAGGTCAGATTATTTCCATGGCAGAGAATATGAAACACTGCCCCAACATAATACTTCCCTTTATCACTGTCACAAGTACCCAACACCCAATTGGTTAAGGTCAAAATTCTGAGGTGACACAGAGGTTCCTTTTCTCCAACCCACCTTATTAATTGTTCATCTGACATCCAGACTGGGACTTGGTGAGCATTCAGTTGTAGCAAATTAGTCCCGATCATTGTCAACATCCAGCGAGCATATATGGCACACACCTTGGCCTGTGGGCCTCCTCAGAAATGTTAGCCATATGATCAGTGATTAAATTTGTTGTGTCCTATTTAAGAAATCCAACTGTGCCCAGGGTCACTTGTGACATATCCCAACCTCTCCGGTTGATCTGTACCTGGTCTAAGTAACCTTCCCCTGTAATGACGTGCATTTTCTGCTGAAGGGTTTGTGTCTGACTTTCTAATTCTGCTGTGTCCAGGGTGTTGACAGTTGCTACTCCTGATGCATATCCTGCCCCTGCCAATCTAATCATCCTCTTTTCTTTCTATTCTTGTTGATCATAAGCTCACTCCTGTTCAATTGTTCATCAAGGAGGTGGACAAATAATCGTTTTGTAGTGGATGGACGCCATTCCAGAGCAGTCATTTCAGTCAAATTAAAGACTACCTGGACATGCTGATAGCCCAGTACCAAAGTGACAGATTCTGCTGTCGCCTTTAGTACAAGACCCACACCTTCCATCCTGTATTGTATTCATTGCATCTAGGTTCTAGTGTGGTTTTACTCACTGGGGGCATGGGGTCGTGGTCTTCCTATGGGTCCTGAAAATTATGAAGGGCCCTGGCCTCTGACAGAAGCCCCTGTCCATATCTCTTTCCCTTGTGCTTCCTCAAAGATATATCGTAACAGTGGAGCTGAAGGAAGGGGCTTTCCATCCACTGAGATGAATCCTCTCACCTTCCGTGGGGCAAATATTCTGTGAGGTTATTACAAACATACATGCTGTCAGGGTATATCACTGATCTAGGCGGAAAGAGTTCCAGGTGACCAACCACATATGTGACGGCCACTAACTCTACTGCCTGTGCATTCATGGTCTTAGGTAATTTAAGAGCCACACTATATCTTTCCTGTCCATTTTCATCCTCCATGTATATCCTGCACTAAGTTCTCCTTTCTCCTTCCTGTACTGATGAAGAACCATCCACAAAAATTTAAATGGGATTCTTCCTTTTTTCCCTTTACTTTTCTGCTTTCAGATCCGGTCTTACCCCTTCCTTTTTGTTTTGATACAAATAGGCCCTTGGGACCATTTGCTATCATCAATTGACACTCGTGTTTCTCACCCTGGTACACTAAGTTATCTGCTAACATAGTAGTGGCTTTTACTCCCTTTACAGTAATATCAGTTTCCTGTAACAACAGTGTCCACCGAGCGATTCTATTCTGACTGACTGAACTGTTTTTAATCCTTCTGTCTAATAGTAGTTGCACGGGGATATGTTCTGTTAATATCGTTAGTGGGTTCAACCCCACTATGTAGGTAAAATGCTGCACTGCCCAAATAATGGTTAGCAGATATTTTTCACATTCTGTGTATCCCTGCTCTACTGGTGAGAACATGCACGAGGCATACGCTACTGGTCTTAATTTCATGTGCATCTCCTGTAACAGAACTGCTGAGAGGGTAGTGTGTGCTGGCTACCTCCAGTGAAAAGGGTTCATTCGGGGTTTTCAGAGCAGGCGAGGTAGCTAGTGCTTGCTTCAGAGCTACAATGGCCTGTGTGTGTTCCAGTTTCCACTCCCAGGTCACATTCTTTTTCAATAACTCCACCAACGGAGCTGCTCTTGTAGTGAATCAGTCAATGTGGTCCCTGCAGTATGCCACTAAACCCAAAAAGGATCTTAACCCTTTGATATCTCGTGGAACAGGGAGTCTACTAACTACCTCTATCCTTCGTTTATCTATTTCTCTTTTTCCGGGTAACAGAATCATTCCCAAGTAAGTCACTTTGTGTTTCATTAGCTGCGCTTTCTTAGGATTCACTTTCAAACCCAATTCATGCAACAACTGCAGTAGTTCACTTAACAGCTGGTAATGTTCCTCTTTAGTTTCAGTTCATAGGAGTAAGTCATGTACATACTGCATGAAACACTCAGGTTTTGAAAACCCTTTTAACTCTTCCTTTAGACATTGATGGAATATGGACGGAGAATTATGAGATCCCTGTGGCAGGGCGGTCCACGTATATTGCTGGCCTTGGAAAGTAAACACCAAGTTGTATTAGCACTCCTTTTCCAGTGGGATGGACCAAAACCCGTTACTTATATCCAAAACCGTGAGCCACTGCACGTCCCCATTTTGCTTAACAACTGTCTCTGGCCTAGTTACTATGGTGGGGGCTGTTAATGGGGTGGCCTTGTTCAGAGCTTGGTAATCTATTGATAATTGCCAGCTACCTTCCGGTTTCCTCTTTGGCCAAATAGGCGAGTTGTTAGTGGAAGCTACTGGTCTCAGTATCTCTTGCTGCAGCAGACCCTGTACCACCATCCCTATCTTTTCCTCTGACTGTTTCGGAAAACCATACTGCTTCTGTGGTTTGGGGTCTGGGCCCTGTATATACATACTTCAGGCCATCTTCCCACAGTAATGTTTCTGTTGGGCAAATACTGCTGAGTACTGTACAATGAGCTGTTGCACTTCATAATCGTCACTCATCTCTTCTGGGTTTATCCACAGTTCCCCAACTGTACATACTCTGTCCTGATATTCCCCCACGGGAATAAGTGTGCCATTTACACCCCTCATACATACAGGTATTTGCCAAATCATGCAGTTAACAGGATCAAAACAGAGTCTTTTACCATGCAATCACTTCCTAAAATATATTCTTGTTCCTTAGGCAATTTAATAAGAACTACTGAATGTTCTTATACTACATCTCCCACACCAGCCTCCAACAGTACGCTCATATGTCCCACTTGTGATTGTCCCGTCAATCCACTTAAAATGATTTTACTTTGAATTTGCCAATTTATATCATTGACCTGGGTGGTATTGATGGTGGTTTAGGATCCCCCAATGTCCCAAAGGAATGTAACAGAGCGGCTTCTGACCCTACCATTCACCGAGGGGTCTCCCCGTTTTGTCCCACCGTGCACCACATACACATAAAGGAGAGGCCTGCAACCATCATTGCAGTTCATGGTACACCCCAGAAGATGGTAGTAGCTTTGTCACATCACACTGAGGGCTGGCTCCATTCGGTCCTTCTACACATAGGCACTGGCACCCATGACCTGCATTTTGATGTCTCGAATTCGGGCATTCTCTTGTGAAATGTCCCTCTCAGCCACACGTGTAGCACCTAGACACCCCGCCTTGAGTTCTCCCTGTTCCTGAGACATTCCCTCTACCTCTATCTCTACCTTTACCCACGACTGAATAGTATGGAGGGGGTGCCCTCCGAGTAGGTCTTCCCTCTTCATTTCTCCAGATTATTGCCTGATCTTTAACAGTTGTCATCCTGTACCCCAGAGGCCTTGGGAAGCTTTGTTGTTTCTTTTTCCCATGCTTTAACCATCTTCCTCATTACCCAGGAATGTGCATTTCCAAGATGGGATCAAACTGCTCTAATGGCCTCCTTGACTCCTCAGTGCCATACGACACCAGCGTTCTTAGCCATCAGTTCCTACTCTTCACCTCCAGATTGTTCCTATCCAAGGCTGTCCCATATACCCCTGAAACACTGCCCAAAGGCACATTGTAAATGCAGTGGGGGTGTTCACCTTTCCTTTGGTAGTACTTTGTCAGCGCCTCCACTGGGTCTCCTCTGTTAGTGCGCATGATATTTAACGCCGGGTATTTTAAAGCTTGAGTTGTGCCTCTGCCAACTTTCTGCTCTTCTGGTAAGGCAGAGTGTAGATGTGGGTGCAGGCACATTATTATTAATTTTCTTTCCTCAGTGTCATCTAAACCATGTATTTCCCTCTGTTGACTGACCGCTCAGAACAGCTCCCTAGGATCGTACCTGGGCACACATGTCCCAATGTCTTTTGCAATGTCCCTGTCAACTGCTGCACTATCCAATGGGGTACAATATACTACCCTGCCACCTTCTGCCATCTGACTATCTGCCCCTAATCCTCCTCTAGTGGTTACCGGGGAGGCATTATGACTGGAGCTGACAGTGTCTCTGACACTGAGTCATAAGCTGGTGGCGGATCCTCTGGCGGAGGCTCATCATGACCATACCCAGCAGCTCTGTCTGCTAAATCATCCCAATCCACATCCCCTTCACTGCCTTCCCCACTTCTTACAGACGCGAAGGCACACATTACGCCTCTCCGTGCAGCTAGCTGACCTTGCAGCCTTTCTATCTGTCTCTGACATATCGTGTGATCTGCAGCACTACTCCCATTTTCCTGAACTGCTCTCTGGATCACGTTCATTGCAGCTTTTAAATTATTGCTTCCATTTTTCCATTTCAGTTTTAACTGTTTGGACTTCTCCCTCTCGCTTATTCTTATCACTAACCAGCTTTACACACTGCACCTGGTACTGGTTCATAATGTAACAAGTCCGTAATCTTCTGTCCCTGCAGATCAGTTACTCTGTCACTAAGGCGGGCTACCTCTTCATAAAGTCTCTTCCTCTAATCATTCCCTCTCTACCTTCTCGAACTTAACTTGCTGTCGGCACTCCATCCATCACTCCATTAAACAGCCGATCTCTACCACCTTCTGAGATAGTAGGAACTGCAGATGCTGGAGAATCCGAGACAACAAGGTGCAGGGCTGGATGAACACAGCAGGCCAAGCAGCATCATAGGAGCAGAGAGGCTGACGTTTCGGGC